TATTTGTTAAATATTTTTTGTATTTTCATATTTATGTCAATAATGTGTATATTCCTTAAGAATTCTTACTTAACAAAATATTCTTTCAATTCCTTTCACTGTTTATATTTTTATAATATATTTTTACGGACAAAATGTTCGTAAATTTAATGCAAATTAAAATGTAATTTATTTAATTTACTTTTAGTATTTACTTCAATATTGTAAATCAATGAGATGCAAATTCATTAAAAGTTTCAAAATCCATTTTATATTCACAACACTTTCATGGCATAAATATTGCCATTACTTCCAACCAAATAATTCTCAACTGTTTTGGGATATCCGGGAATGAAATCCCATTTTCTTTCGCTAACCAGAGATTCGACGAGTTTTTCATTGTTTCCGTTCCGGAAGTCTTCGTCTCGATCTTCAAAGGCTTTGGAGACAGCCACGACCCAAAACACCAGTCCCCCTGACATCCCATTCCCCATAAAAAAAACACTCATTATCTTTAACTCTATTACTGTACCGGTAATTAATTTATTAAAAATATTACCCTTTTTAACGACACGAATAATCTGTGGGAATGAATTCCATCGGATATGTCCCGGACATAGACAGCCTGCCATCACAACCGCATCGTATGTGTTGTCCTCAATGGGAAGTCTCGTATCTTTAGTGACCACAGAAGTGATGAAATTTGTGTAACACTTCTTCTGCTTCGCCATCTCAAGCATCTCTTTGGTCTGATCCAAGCCATCGATGTTTGTATAGCCATTGAGTTTGAGGAGATGGCCCACAGTTCCAGTTCCCGTCCCGATGTCCAAAATGCGACAATTTTTGGGTAGTTTTAGATTCACGAACTCATTGATCGCCAGTTCCGGGCCGTTATATTCCATAAACTTTACGTCCTTTTAGTTCATTAAAAACGTAAATTTAATTAATTTAATTAGTAAAATATTAATTAATGTGAAATCATTAATCTTGTTAAACCTTATCATAGTCTTCGGCCCACTTTTCGTACCAAACCCGGGTCTCTTCAGGAGGTCGGGGCTGAACCAATTCCTCCAAGTATTTCAATTTATCCTCTTTTTCTCGATTCTCCATTTCTATGAACTTTTTAAATAAAACCAAATTCTATGATTAAATTTTTTTTAATAATTTTCCCTATTTATGCCATTCAGTAATCTAAAATGTTTATAATTAATATAAGTATAAGCTTGCGTAATAATCTTCGATAAAATCACAATTTATTTTAACATTTTATAAGTATTGCCCATAAAAATTAGCCCAAATTATGTGT